CGCTTGGTTGGGAACCAGTGTGGATGCACACACCTCGACCAATGTCACTCTTTAACTATTTATTAGTCAATTGGTTGCATATAATTAGATAAAATAATGTATAGGTTCTATCAAACATTTGTTTACACATATTAGTTTCAGGTAAGGATGATTCTGTGGATGAACGGATGTAAGATGTCCTGACAACAGCTGTACCCTCGACACAGATATACTCTTTAATAACTTTTCATTGAAGTTCACCCAGTAAATATTTAGATGATACAAAAAGGTTTTTTAAATTTTTTGCTAATATGCAGATTATTATTACAATATAGGTACTAAATCAGACTTCAAATATTTGATTATTTAGTGTGAAGAATGTTTTTATAAAGTACGAATATTGTAAAGACGAAATATTTGAGAGTTTGCATTGAATAATCTCAGAAGTTAATTCTGAGATTCGATTTTAGGAAATCTTTCACCTATACTCGGCTGTCATAATAGGCTATAATTTATGAGAAGTCGCGGGAAAACAGTTAAGTATACCTAAATATTATATAACATCACATTCATTGCTCAGATTCAAGACAATTAGCTAAAGCCCTCGTATTATAAAATATCTTAAACAACAAAGGCCCCAGACCATAAATAGAACCCGGGCCGTAGAAATTACGACACTTTGTAACCGATATGCTAGCCATTGCTAATATAAATCAACAACAATAAGAAACTTCCAAAGTTATTCTTGTAAAAATTGATACAGAATTTATTATATTAATATGTCTGAGGAGATTTGTCACTACAAGCCTACAAGAAATAAATTTAAAAATCATGTAAAGGAAGGCCATTGATAAATTAATAGCCTGCGATTTGTTCGATACTGACTAGTTATAATGTACCTACGCTATTTCCTACATTAATAATTGTTTTTATTATTATTGTAATACGTATTATTTTGGTAACAACATTTTCAATGTAAATTTCGTTACTTCTGATGAAGATCTGGTAAGTTCTTTTGCTTCTTGTAGGCCAAAAGACGTCCTGAACAAGTGATAGGGGAAAAATTGTAATACGGTTATTTGAATTAAGTAATTTTAGTTTCCATAATACTCTAACCAAATAAACTCCCCAAGATTATCGAATATCTCATGTAAATCGTACTTTTGCTGTTACCAAATGAATTTTCAATGTTTATCGGTGATATTTTAACTGGAATAGCCCAGAATAAATACCAATTTTTAACTTGTTACCGAATTTTTCAGTATTTCACTTTAACATAAAAGCAAAATATATCAACTAAAAGAATTTATTTTGTCAAAGTATGAAATCTCGTTCTCATATCTCATATAATTGTTTATTATATTGATGTACGTGTATTGAAGTAAATAAATAACAACATTATATTACTTCTCCGAACGTGTTAAATATTTTGGCGTTTACTCAATAATGAATGTTAATCGACAATGACATCACATTAAGTGGCTATTCGAAAGAAACATTAAAACAAGATTGCAAAATATGTACTCTTATAAATAACAACGCGTGAACTATGCAGTTTATCATGATTAAGTGGCAGACAGGAAACAATATGATGGTAATGGAGCGCTAAATATCGCAAGTGGTTCAATTTTGTTTCATTTAATAATGCTCTACATTTATACTTTTTTATTAAACTCGTAACATCGCTTTTCTGATATAAAAAGACTTATAAAAAGAGTTCACAAACAATTAAAACTATGAATGAACGAATGATTACGATAATATAATATGTTACATAATAAATGCGTGGATTTTATTATTCCACCATTATAAAGCGATCGTTCAAGAAAACAAGAGCAGTAATACTCAACTTCATTGCCGTTTCAAGGTAGTATAACTATGGGTCGTTACCCATAATGATAAATAGTTACACTTGGCACACATACGATTGACACCTATATATATGGGATTCAATGTTTATTTCTCTACTCTAGGGAAGCTCAAAAAATGACTATATCTATGTGATATGTTATGACATAACCAACTAAAACGACAGAACAAAATGAACTGCACAGATAACTCAAATCACCGAGAACAGAACGTGGAATAGAAGACTTGAAAATTAAACCTTCACATTCTTCGATGTAATTCTTTATTATACAGTTTTATAGAGCAGTAATAGTCAAAGTAGCTCGGTGGCGTAGTGGATAAGTTTTGTTTATTAACTTTGGCAAGGGTCAGGCACGGGATGGGTGACCAAAAAAATATTATCTCGAATCTTGTCATATCTCATTGCATTTCTATGCATAGAATCTCAGTTACATTATCTATCACATTTCTCTTTGGGAATATAGACATCTTATATATATAAAATTGATCACATGTAACTTCTATATTTTTGATCACATTTCCTAAATTGAACTGAATTAAGTAAGTAGGAATTGAATATAATAAATATCTTACTTATATCTATCACTATATATTTATATAGTGATATATATAATTATGCAATTACACCTTTTTTACTATACTGAAAGAGATATTTCTCAAATTATTTAAGTGTTTTTTTTTTAAGTAAACGTAGAATTAGTGCCCTTAGTTAAAGAAGCCACACGAAACAGGGCAAAAAGTTGACATAGATAGTTTAAAAAAATAAGAATCAAAAAGCAAGGCTCATCCACCACATCCACAATAATAACCAAAGTTTTAGGTAATAGATAGTATCTTCAGTTTTTTCTGAATAGGAAATCCAAACCTCCTCTCCCTTGAAGGTCTCAAAACAAGGCCGACATAAAATAACGAGAGGAATGCAGTCTCGCGCGATTGGGACTCGGCCGAGATCTCGTGAGTTTATGAATATCGATATCGCGAAATCTCGCCAATTACGAAATAATCAGGAGAAGTACTGTAACTTCGCCTTTTAACTCCCGGACTCGCATAAATTCGCGCTGTCACACTTAGAATAAATCGTTTTTATGCTCGAGTGTAATCTCGTTAAACTCGCGAGATCTCGCCCATTTTTCTACAGAGATCTCGCGAGAACGAAATTGCATTCCCTAGGAGACGCACATGTGAATCTATATAACTATTTTACCCTCGACTTCGCCTGCGTTAATTAGAAGTTTGTCGACTGCGTATTGCCATGGTTGAAAAAAAAATGTTAAAATAGGACCAGTGATTGTACTATCTACTTCAAATCCATTATTATATAATAATACCAACATTGATTTATATATCTGTCAACATTGATTTGTAAGGAAGACATTCATCATCATCATCATCAGCCATTTTACGTCCCCACTGCAGGGGCTTAGGCCTTCCTTATGAATGGTTAAGGGGATGGACCCTCCACGCTGGCCCAATGCGGATTGGAGGATATTAACGACTGCAAATGCAGCCGGGACCAACAGCTTAACGTGCCTTCCGAAGCAATTAGTAGCTCGAGATAGTAATTTTTTAGTGATTTTTTGGTCACCCATCCCGTGACCGACCCTTGCGAAAGTTGCTTAACAACAACGATCGCGGGCCGCGGCGCTTATCCTCTACGCCACGGAGCTTCTTGAGGAAGACATTGCACTAATAATATTGGAATTTAGGTAAATATAACAATGGCGAAATGCAAGTCATTGATATTCTATTGATATGTAATTGTTACATTCACATTAGCAGAATTGGCCTACTGTGTTTGTACATTGTTTTTGAGCCTACTAAATGCAAACAATCCATTCTTTCCCCTTTATAATATAAGTGTATATATCGCTCACGAATTTCTTGTAGTCTAGCGCTTTATTATTTCTGTTTGTAGTAACAAAGTCAATGTCTTTAATGACATTAACAGGTATTTAAGAAACACGCATAAATAGTAGCTTTAAACAATGGACGAGAGAGGTAAAGGAACTGTTAACAAAACTAGATTAGAGGTGTAACTCAGCTTACTATTGTTCAAACACATAACATTGAGGCATACGAATTATGGTAAATCATTGTACTTGTTGTAACATTGCAAAAAATTTCGCATTCACAATTCATTAAGTATTAATATTATATTTATGTTTTATAATGATTAATTCTAGCAAACAATTGTATTTTGTAGGTCACACCTCTATAGCCAAGTGGTTCGTACGCCGGCTTCAAGGTGTCCAGGGTTCTATTCTCGGTCGGATTAGAAAATTAACTTTTCTATGTTGTCCCAGGTGTGGGTGTTGTGGTACCTTCGTTCCAACACACATCTCTGAGCAATATATGTGTTGTTGTCTTATATTTATTTCGAATCGTAACGTTTCCAAGATAGAGAAACATAGTAGGCAGACCTTCTGTTATGCGACAAGATACTAGATCCCCAGGACAATGTTTTCAAAATTTGACACTAAAATTAATTATGTGTGCAAAACTTCTTTTTTATATATTTCAACAAATCGGAAAAATAATCATATTCGATACAGCGGCGTTTAACAAATTTAACTTTGAACTCGTGCTAGGATTCACTGGCGTTGTTTTTTTAACTGTTTGCCTTCCAATAAAATTTCTACTAAAACTTAAAGAATTATTTTCTCGATTTTGTTTATTTTTGTAATCATGCAAAAGAGGTGTGAAATTTCTTTTTTTTTTTATTTCGGTTAACTTAACCAAAAAGCTTACCCTTTATAAAAAAAAGATTAGTCGAAATCAAAAATTTTCAGGATAAATTAAAATTCTATTTGTCTGATATTCTTTAAATAGTTCGCTCGGAATAAAAACTCGGACAAGTATTCGAAAATGTTGTCCAAGAACTAATCAAAACAATGATCATAAGTTACATACTGGAACAGAAAATATCGTTTCCCATAAAAAAAAAGAAAAAGCGTACGTAAAATCAACATATCAAAACCAGTACACCAAATTCTAAATTGCGCTATTTTATTATTGATACATATAATCGATCGTCTTATCACCGGAATGGCTTCGTGACGTGTGATACTGTGACAGTAGATGTTCAAACGGCATTCGATTCCAAACTACATAATTGTTTTTAATTGTGTTGTTTGTGCGATCGGTAGGAAGTGGGGAGACACGGCGCTGGCGCCGATCGTGTGAGCCACTCTATTTGCGGAATAGCCGACAGACGCGCGCGTGTCGCACTGACAAGTTGATAGTGATATTGCCGTCTAAACGCGAGTGAAGTGCGATCAGTGCCTGGTTCATCAACGTCCAGACGCAAGCGATGCGTCGCATCTGTGCTCATCGGGGATTACTCACGCGCATGTCACGCGGGAGTCTTATACGTTTTTAAGATTCAAACCGGTAGGTGTTTACTTCATAATTCATAATTCATAATATAATGTTAAAAATAAACTAATAATAACCGCCAGTTGTTGACAATTTTATGATATAATGTCAAACACGTCAGAGTTTGTTTATCTATTCCACGCACACGCATTATCACGATTTTTTCATACGTGCTTTAATAATTAGAATCGCAAATAAAGAAATATTTGAAGAACCGTTGAATGCGACAATTGAAAATTTATATCCTACTTAAAATACAATTTTTTGGCAGTCTCCGCGCCTGTCATTTACATAAACAATAATTTAATAGCACTCTTTTATCAATAAACTGTGATATGATAGCACGACATTGAGTTTTTGCCTACTCGTATATATCTCCATATTTTTATATTGTTAATCTTTCATAACTAAAAACAGTTGTCGAGACACGACCTGATTCGTTCTAGATAATAAATTTGTATGTAGTTTTCTCAGTCACTCTTCTTATGAATGTAACGTAATGCCAATACTTTTATGCGTAACAATTTCACTATTGGAATAATGTATTTTTCCGTTAGTTTAAAAACAGATAAGATCAAACGATATTTTAGATAAAAATACTCTTGAACAAACATTATATCTGAAACAATCACACATCTATTAGTGTTGGTAAAAATTATCATCATGCGAAAATGACAGCAAATCTCGGCGTCTGGACAGAGACAGATTACTTATTGCCCGATACAAAACGCGAAAATCATATTTATTAATTACATACTAGCAAACCACAATGTTTGTGGTAAAACAACTCGTGTTCTCGGCAACAAAGTGACTACAAAATTATTATTGTTAATTAAAAAAAAAGGATTAAAAGTTGCTGAGCTTTAAAGGTAACATGTAACATCGGATACAAGTATCTTTCTCATACTCCAATTGCATGATAAAGCACTAATCTAACTAATAAATCGCCTTAAAAAAGGTAAACTTCTTCTTCTGTATAAATAATAGCGTATGTCACCCGCTTACGATGCTGCTTCCCGTGAGTAAAAGAATTTTTATGGATAGATTAATATTTCCGAAAATTAACCTCTACAAACAAACAAAGTTGGAAATTTAACCTCTTTATAATAATGCATCTACATTAAACTTTCGTACCAGATATTGGAATTACCTACCTAGAATTTTTTTTTCAAACCCCGCCTTAATCAATAGCTAGATGTATTTTATTCTACGATTCTTATTGATTCATGTTCTATTGAGTATTATTCTTGCTGTCATTCAGCACAGGAATTTTAATTGGGGTTAACACAACACTTTTCATTGTTTATACATATAACAATATCTGTTGTGTGTACCACATGTTAAAACTAATTTTCATTTGATTTATTTTAACGTTATTCCATTGTCATAGATAATCAAAGAAATATATAATTATACTTATATTTGGATATCGATTCAATGACAATTTGTCATTGTAATTATATATTGCAATGATAAATTGAAACAAACTTCCATTGCCAATTTCATTCCTTTATCTGCTGTTTTACGGAAGAAATCGGCCGGAGGTTTTCTGTAGGTTATTCATTAAATATTAGGCGCCCGACTTTAGTAGCATTTTCTTGAATAAGTCGCTTTTAATAAAAGTATTATTCATCACTTTTTTAAAGTTTGAAGTTGGTTCTACTTTTTAAAAAGGTTTTATTTGATGTTTTTAAATGATATTGATATTTTTATATATTAGGTAACACTCAAAATATTAAATATCTATATAAATAAAAATATTTAACATAATGAAAGTTTTTGTTTATGGGCTCAACATATTTTTGTCCAATAATCTATATTCGTGGTTTAAAAAAAGATCGATTTGTTTGCTTGTCTGTTTGTATTGGAAAGGAATTATTGGACCGATTTATAAGTCTTTCATCTACGTGAAGCTACACAATGCGCGAAGTTTAATAGAAATTGTTTCACAATTCAAAAATGAATTAATGAATATATCTACCCCTATATGTATATACTTTACTCATTGATACCTACAATCTATGACTTTTATAAAAACATATAGAGAGTATACAACCTCGTTGAACATAGAAAATTTTCCTTTCAGATTTTGAATGAATTCCAAATGCGCAATCTTTTGTTCTTTAGCTGAAATGGGCCATGTCATAATATGTATATCATCTTAATATTTACATGATATCTGTTGGAAAGCGTATTTTGTTTTGTTATAAAAGGAAAACTACGTATTCAACTATACTTTAAAATTTTATTGGGACGACCTCAATCCATCAAGCAGTCGCATAATTTTTTTTTAAATCAGTCAACAATTGACGAAAATATCAGTGAACATACATAAAAAGAAAACATACATCGCCGTCGAATATATAACCTTCTCCTTTTGGAATTTGAAATCGGTTTAAAAATGACCAAAAACTACTCTAAAAAATTATATGCATTTTGGTGAACCATTACACCACAGACTCTAATTATGGTCTCTAGATATGAATTTATTATCTATTGAATCTAATAATGTCCGGTATATTTCCTAATAAACATCAGTATTTTTTTAATAGAAGAAAGAAATATTCTTTCTCGAGTCGAAAACATTTATTCTGTGATAAGTTTTATAAATATAATATGATGCAATTTGACGTATCTTGATGCATACTAGGTAGGTATGTAACTTTAAAACAGTTTTTACTTTTTTTAGGTCTTTGTTACTTTTTACTTTTTAACACAATCTAATTGTCATAGAAACAAGAATACGATAGAGAAAAAAAACGAGATTAACACAAAGTCGCGGCCTAACATCCTGGCTGTATAAAAAAATCCCGTGTTCGTTAAAAATATGAAAAAATAACCTACTCTATGCTACTAAATATTTATAAATGTGAAACATTCAATATTGTTCAAAAATGTTTGCATTATCTTGGATAAAATCCAATGCTTTAATCAATTTATCACCAAATGTCTCCCTATGACAACGACCATACTAGACCGATTAAAAAGTAGTAAATTTTTATAGTCAAAATCCAGTATTGAATGCTAATTAATAAAGCTGAACTGATAAAACTTGTTATTTGGACTGTGAGAAAAAATTTTGGAATTATGTAAATAAAAATATATTTTCCATTGTTGGATCGTTTCGCGCTTTTTCGTGGTAACTATTGGCTTTATATGTTATGTAAAAAAATCTCTAGAGCTCGATCGCGAAATAGTTAGCGCGTTTGGTCAGCGATGCGGAAACTAATCAACTTTAGCAAAGGCCGGTCATAGGATGGATGACTAAAAATTATTATTTTGAAGTCCTCCTTGTTTCGGATGGCACGTTAAGCTTGACCGTTAAGATAATAATTATAAAAAATATTTATCTTCTCTCATTATCTTACTCATTTATCTTCTGCTGTCTAGCTGTCATATGCAGCTGATTTTCTTCGAAACTATTAGACCGTTTGAATTGCAATTTAAGAGAAAATAAGTCCTAAAACTATTTTATATTATAAATGCGAAAGTTTATTAGGATGTGTACTTTTTCAAGTACTTTAATTCCAAGCCTGGATTAACATATAGTATATTTTTTGTCCCATTTCATCGATTCCTATGGATCAAAGTACCATAAAAAAATCATGTAGAGCCCGCGTAATAGCCTCTAGCGGAGACCTAGCAACATTTATAACATGACGGTCTTTTTTAATTAATTATGATGAATGAAACAGATGACTAATAAATTAAAGATAACTTACTTCTGTTAGGACCTGTAAAAGCTACAAGACTTTTACGAGTCCTAACAAACATCCTTTTCATAAACCTATAAAACTGAAGTAGAAAAAAATCAAACATCAATTTAAGCCATAGTAATATGCCACATAAATCACAATAAAACTCCTGCATACTATTATATAATTTAATAGCAACAGTTGTTATAATTATTGACATACAAGTTATCCGCGAATCAAGTTAAAACTGAAATAGTTACTTTTCAATCATGAAATTTGTTATTGATGCATATTTTAAAACTTGTGTACTCACAAATTACTTTAAATTTGTGAGTACACAAGTTTTTACATTAGGTATGTTTTGAAGTCTTTGGACTTCAAAATATTAAGTTTATTTTACTTTCTGCTTTGATACATTAATAGTATATACCTCTAATACCAATTTAAAGTAAGATTACTTTTTTTTCTGATACTGTTTAATATACGATAATTTTATGCTCATAATATTAAAAAATTGTTTAAATTAATTATAAAGTAACAAATATTTTATACTCATTGTCACGTGATCGCAAAAAACGCGTGACATCACGCCCCCCTCACCCATATCAAACCATAAATAATAATCAAAAAAAATCCATAGATCGATATAAGTTTTAGAGGGGCGTGACATTATAGCGACGCTATGAGAAAAGTTGGCGTTTCAGCGGCAAATTTTAAAATTAATTTATTTTTAGGTTTTAACTTATTATAGTAATGATAGTTTTTTGTATATATTTCAAGTATATCTAAAAAATAAAAAAATATTTACACCCCTATTATCTCGTGTAGTTGGCGCTTTGTAGCCTGATACAAATACCAACTTTCAGTATGGAGATCAAACATTAAAACATAACAGCTGTTTTTTTTATCATATGTTTCCTTTTTAATATATGAACTAATCCAACGACATTTTCTTTCGGATTATTAGTAAAAAAATAAAATACCTTTAATTTCTCAATGGCATGATAAGAAAAATACATATCGTCTATGAAGAGTCAATAAATAATAACTGCAAAAATGCAACTTTTCAGGAGACGAAAGAAACGTTTCAAATCTATTATATTGGTTTTTTCAGTACATTGCAATTATTGTTTATCTTACAAAAACATAAGAAACGAACCCAAAATCTTTGTCACTATTGTGTAGTAATCTATTTTACAACGAATAATATATAAAATAATACAATAAAACAAAAATTTACAAAATGTCAGTTATTATTTATTGACTCTTCATGGGCGATATATAGTTCTTCTACGTATTTTCACGCTGTTACTTATGTTACTTC